ATTCCTGCTCTTGGTCAATCTCTTTGAGATACTTCTGAGTCTTCTCTACTCCCTTACCCCGATCTTTACTGACTCAAATTCCTTAATCTCAGCTTTCAGTCCAAATTTTCTATCATTTTAGGACTCTGGGAAGCAGTTGACAGAAAAAACAAGCAAACAAACAAAAAAACCCACTAGCTATATATAGTCAGGAGAGACTGTAGAAACATACACACGAAATGTGGCAATGGTCCTTTTAATTACACCAATGAGCAATAAATGGCCTGGATCACTAGTATAAATATTCAGTTTGGCCCTCCTGGATTGTGATTTTGCATGAGAATACAGCCAGCAAGGGCCATGGATAGAGGGAGAAACAAAAGAGAAGAAAACTTATGGTTGATTGTACATTGGATCTCATGGGTGGGGGCCAGAGGTGAGGGACTATAGGGGGTGTCATCACTGGTACCAGCCCCAGCCTGTGTCTCAGATGGGTCTCCATTAGGAGGCTGGACACAGGTGCCAGCAGTGGGGCTGTGCCACCCCAGAGACCAGATGCTAGGATCCAAGTGCTCTGGTAATCTTTGGTATAATTTAAGGCACATCAATAGAATCCCCATCCTCAAACATCTGACTCTACACATTGAAATTCCTACTACAGGACACTCCTTTGATTTGAGCATTTGACTACCAAAGACTACTGCTGAAATGCTAATAATTTAGCTGGGAGAGGCTTCTCAGTATCATCCAACAAATACCCATGTATCCTTTGGACAGGGTGGGTTTTGATCAAAAAGCAGGGCTTGCTCTCTATAATGTGGGCCTTGGGCAGGATGCAGGTGGTACAGAACTCAGGGGTTAAAAGCCAGGAGTATAAAGAGGGAAATCAGAGCACCAAGACGAAAGTGTGGGAGGGCTAACTCCCTCCTTTGCTCACAGCCTTGCCTAGACAATCCTGGCTGGTGTGTTCAGCAGCTGACGGGATGATGGGTATCTCAGAGTGAGGCTGCGCTCGTAAGGCCACAGGGAAGGGGCAGTTCAGGCCTGGGGAGGTTCTGCTCACCACTGGGGTGTTAAGGTTGGGGAAAGTTTCCAGCACCAGGATGGGGCATATAATCCTCACTCAGGGCTATATAAGCTTGTCTGCAGGTTGGGGTCAGGGAGGTTTTCTGTCTTTGCGTAGGAGTAGAGGCTTTCCCATTCCAGAAGTGCAGGGCATATGTTTTGGGGAACAGTGAGGGCAGTGCTGTTGGGGCTCAGGCGGGTTGGCCCTGGACTTGGTGGTCACTTAGCCACCAGGTCAGACAGTTTTCAGTCTGGACCCTTTCAAGTAGGGTGTTGCTGTGAAATACTTTAGAGAGGGAACGAGGCACTCTTGTCTTCATTTCCGCTCAATACAGTCAACGCCCAGGGTATTGTCAGGGCAACGGCAGGTCCTGCTTCCTGGGGTGGCCAAGCAGAGGTGGGTGCAGCCACCATTGTTCACTGAGCAGTAGTTGTGACCTGGAAAAGGCAGAAGTCAGCTCAACAGCTAAGAGAGTGGCCTCCATACTAGACCCCTTTTTGGTCTCTGGGAGGCCAAGCTTGTGGGGGCTCCTGGGGAACAGGGAAGGCTGCACAGGGCACTCAGCTCAGCTTATCTATCAGCTGTTTCCTCATCATTAAGGATTTGCCAGATGTGCAAAAACCTTGATTCCTGATCTGGGGGCTATGCAGATTTACCATTGAAGCTATTAAACAGATCTCAGGGAAGGTTTTCCAGCTCTGATCAGAACATGGAGTTGGAATTTTAAAGCACAATGTATTCTTTATCTAGCTTGGCCACTTGACTGGGGGACAGGAGGGAAACCAGGAAGGAGGCTGGGTTAGGGGAGAGAATTTGGAGAGGCAGCCTAGCATAGACTCAAGCCAGGCTGCATAGCTCATCCCCGGTTCTGCCATCGTGAGCACCATAAGTGACCGTGTGACTCTGGGCAAGTGGCTTCAGTTTCCTTATTTATAAGGTGAGCATAATAATAGTACCTACCTCGTAGGGTTGCTACAAGGATTAAGTGAACGAGTGGATACAAAGCACTTAGTATGCTAAGTGACTTAATATATGTGATGGACCTAGCTCACAGTAAGTATCACATCCATGTTTGCCTGGTAATTATTATTATTATGAATTATTGTTGTTGCTGTCAGGCCAAATGGATGGATTTTAAAGCAGCAGAGATCCTAACACTGATGTTCCTCCCTGGAACCTGAAGACCGCATACTTTTAGACCCAGCCCAAGAGTCGATACTTTTCCTCACCCTTATCCTCTATCCACTTCATTCCTTAACATTTTCTATTGATTCATCTTGGCTCACCTACTCAATAATGAAGACCCTTGACGGAAGGGACTGTGTCTCACCTGCCATGTGATAAGGGCTATGAGAGGCCACATAGGTAGCAGCCGGAGTGTGAGCTCTGAGCCCCAGAGTGCTTCCAGCCCCCTGACCAGTTACAGCACAGGTGAGTTACCTTCGGGACACTGAGACAGGGCGGTGGTGATGCCATACAGCCGGGTCTGTTTGTGGGGATGGAAGGAATCCGTCTCTCTGGAAACAGCAAGACCCACAGCGACCACGGAATTCCTACACAGCACCAAAAGATGGGAGGTTAAAATACATCTCATGTCTTGAACTTTTCTCTAGGGGGCAGCCTCTTTTGTTGTTTGGGGGATAATTTGGAGGCCATAAACAGATTCACTGGCCTTGCTTTCCAGCCATCCCTCCCTCTTCCTGGGATGAGACAAGCGTGCAGTTCTCTGGCTTCTTAAAAAAAAAAAAAAAAAAAGGACAAAGGTCAGCTAGCTCTTCCCTCCGGCTCTAAATTCCAAGCTGGGAAATCGACTTTCTATACAGATGCCCTTGCCACATCTGCTTGCTTGGTTTAACCCCACCTTCCTGCAGGAAGAGCTGGTCAAGAAGGGGCTTTGGGAATACTGCAGTTTAAGAATTAAAATAAAATAAGGGCATGGAGCCCACCAGACAAGTGACCGAGGTCGGCTCCTGGGGAGAGAACAGACAGGCGCAGGAAGTCCAAGTCTGCACTTGAAGCTGCTCATCAAGGAGTATCCAGACGATACATGGCATCCCCTGCTTCCCTAGAAGCCCTGCCTCCCATTCCTTGCCCTCCTCTCTGACAACCAAAGGGCAAGGCAGAGGGGGCACCTCTGGAGGCGGGAAGGTCAAGCCAAGAGGCCACTTGGGAAGGGCGTGGCCTCCAGAGAGGGCGGCAGGGCAGGCCCCCCGGCCCCCACGCTCCAGCTGCTGACGTACGTCTTCCAGTCTGTGTAATACAGATTCTTCCCGAAGCTTGTAACGGCGAAAGGATACTGGAGCCCTTCAAGAACCTTGCGTCTGCTGGGCTGATCGGGCTTCAGGCATTCGGCCCGATGGGTGCCTGCGCGGGGCAACACAAATCGTCCATTGTTCATACAAGAAATGGCCCCTTTGTGTCCAAAAACGAGAGTAATGAGGGCAAGGGTGAGAGGGAGCGCTACAAGTTCATATCCTAGAGAACACAAGAGTTGCTCTTCTAAACTGGAAAGTTGTCTGTTCATCCTCCCTGGCCCCTCATTGGTCAACACCCCCTCCATCCAGTACCCATACCTGGTTCTGATGGGGAGACAGAAGCTGGAGCAGAGGAAGAGCACCCCGTTTCACCAGTTCCTGGGGACTTAGGAACGATGCCATCTTCCAGCTCCTGCTCAAGCCCCTCCTTGAAGCCTCTCCAAACCTCCCCTCCCTGCATTCAGAGCCCTTAGAATTGCCGAGCTGCACAGCCTCACGTCAATACCCGCATCATGACCAACTTATGGCTTGGGCTTTCACTTAACTGTGCACGCTTTACTCCCTGCATCCCCCGTGGCACCCGACAGTGTCTAGAACAAAGCAGGAACACAACAGAGACGTGATGGATGACTGACATTCCTCCCCGAATGAGCATCTTGCCCACAGCCCTCGCCTGAGGGACACCCCAAATCTGCCCAGGCAGGAGCACACATCAGGGCTGCATTACTTTATCTTCCTTGGCCTCACGTCCTGCCTAAGCCCTTGGGGACAAGCGGGAGCTACAAGCATGTTAAGTTGTGACGTGCTTAATAGGTATCAGGATGAGGACAGGCTCTGGGGGGGGGTCAGCAAACTTTTTCTTAAAGGGCCAGTTAGTAACTAGTTTAGGTTTTGTGAGCCAAGAGGCAAAAACCCAGGACATTATATAAGCATTTATATAACCTTTTATTTATTTATTTTACAGTATCAATCTATTTTATTAATGTAAACAAATATTTTACTGAAAATGCCAAGGTTTAGTTTGTCCCCAGTCTGAAAGGTGGAGTATTTATATCAAATTATTTGGTCTTTGGGAGAAGACTTGACTGTACTGAAAATGAATATGACCAGGCTGAATGTGTGATTTGTACTACATTTCTGAGATCTTCAGATTCTTGCATGTGACATACAAAATGAGCCTCGGCAGGAGTGTAAGACTAATAAATTTGAGCCAACTAGTTTGTCTGCAAAAAAGTCTATGGATTGAAAAAACTTTTAGATAGCTCTAATGCCAACTGAATTAAGTTGTCATTGTCTTAAATCTGAAACTCTGAAGCATCCTATAATAAGAAATTTTGCATTACCACTTGAGCTTGCCTAAATAGTCTTATAAAAATGCAAATTAAAATACACAGTGTTTTGGAGGCCTCGGTGACATCATATTATGGCGTAGTACTCAGTTAGAAATGACTATGTAGATTATACACTCAGTAAAAATGGGTAGAGTCCAGAGCACACGATGGCATTGGTAACTGCAGGCAGGCCCATCAAACTTTGCTTCCATCTTTTTTTTTTTTTTTTTTTTTTTTTTTTTTCTTGCGTTATGCGGGCCTCTCACTGTCGTGGCCTCTCCCATTTGCGGAGCACAGGCTCCGGACGCGCAGGCTCAGTGGCCATGGCTCACGGGCCCAGCCGCTCCGCGGCATGTGGGATCTTCCCGAAACGGGGCACGACCCCGCGTCTCCTGCATCGGCAGGCGGACTCTCAAGCACTGCGCCACCAGGGAAGCCCTGCTTCCATCTTTTAAAGCATTGTACACAAGTAGTATTGGATGTGGAGGAATGAGACGCCTTCTTTATATCTTTGAAAGATCTTTTCCCTTTATTTGGCCCTTCTCTTCCTATGTGAGGTGGGAACTTGCCATGGAGGCCTCCCTGTTTTCCAAGAGGCAATGAGAATGCATGATCCTGGGCTGCTTCTTTAAGGCTCTTCACTGGGGCTTCTTAAAATGCTTGAGGGAAATGAGTAGGAGAGAGGGAGGGATCGATAGCGCATGGTTGATGGAAGATGCTGATAATTTTGTTGGTGGCAAATAGGAAGCTGAAGCTCGACCTACATTTTTCTCTCTCCAAACTCCAGAACTCCACACCCCAGAGGCCCTCCTTTCCATGTGCTGTATATAACCTTTTAAAATGTAACATTTTAAAATGTGAAAACCGGGGCTTCCCTGGTGGTGCCGTGCTTAAGAATCTGGCTGCCAATGCAGGGTACATGGGTTCGAGCCCTGGTCTGGGAAGATCCCACATGCTGCGGAGCAACTAAGCCTGTGTACCACAACTACTGATCCTGCGCTCTAGAGCCCATGAGCCACAACTACTGAAGCCACAACTACCGAAGCCCGCGCGCCTAGAGCCAGTGCTCTGCAACAAGAGAAGCCGCCGCAATGAGAAGCCCACGCACCGCAACGAAGAGTAGCCCCTACTTGCCACAACTAGAGAAAACCTGTGCGCAGCAATGAAGACCCAACACAGCCAAAACTAAAAACAAATAAATAAATTAATTTTTTTTTAAATGTGAAAACCGTTTATAGCTCCTGGGTTATACCAAGGAGGTTGGATTTGTCCCAAGGCTGTAGTTTGCTGACCCCTGACCTGGAAGATTAAGAGCTCTCCCTAGACTGTGTCAAGCCTAGAGAAACAATAAATTTCAGAGCAAAGATATGCAGCTATTGTTTGTGCAGGAAAAAAGCAGTTATCTTATGCTCTCTTCCCCATAACAGATAATCTTGATAGTACAGGGGGTAACAATAATTGTTTGGTAAAAAACAAGGCACTGTTCCAACCCCAGGAGCCAGGCCTGGGGCTTTCCATCACCTGCATCCACCCAGCAGAGTTGAGATGAGTAGGCATCAAAGGTCAGCCCGTTGGGCAAACCCAGGTCATCCTGCACAAGGATCCTCCGGTTTGTGCCATCCATGTAGGAAGTTTCGATTTTGGGGCTATCTCTGTTCCAGTCTGTCCAATAAAGATTCCTGGAGGAGGAAAAGGAGGAGAAAGAGGAAGAAATATATGAAGATACCTGAGAAAAAGTTCACTTAGAAAACACTTAAGACTCACAGACTCACAGACTTGGAGAATGAACTTATGGTTACCAGAGGGGAAGCGCTGTGGGGAGGGATAGTTAGGGAGTTTGGGATTGACATGTACACGCTACTCGTGGCGCAGTGGTTAAGAACCCGCCTGCCAATGCAGGGGACACGGGTTCAAGCCCTGGTCCTGGAGGATCCCACATGCCCCAGAGCATCTAAGCCCGTGCGCCACAACTACTGAGCCTGCACTCTAGAGCCCACGAGCCACAGCTACTGAGCCTGTGCTCTAGTGCCCGCGAGCCACAACTACTGAGCCTGTGCGCTAGAGCCCATGCACCACAACGACTGAGCCTGCATGCCACAACTACTGAAGCCCAGGTTGCTTACAGCCCATGCTCTGCAACAAGAGAAGCCACCGCAATGAGAAGCCCGTGCACCGCAACAAAGAATAGCCCCCGCATGACGCAACTAGAGAAAGCCTGCGCGCAGCAATGAAAACGCAACGCGGCCAAAAAAAAAAATTAATTAATTAATTAATTTAAAAACAATGGATAACCAGCAAGACCTACTATATGGCAGAGGGAACTCTGTTCAATATTATGTAACAACCTAAATGGGAAAAGAATTTGAAAAAGAATAGATATATGTATAACTGAATCACTTTGCTGTACACCTGAAACTGACACAACACTGTAAATCAACTCGACTCTAATATAAAATAAAAAGTTAAAAAAATAACAACAACAACAACAAATAACAACCCTCAGAATGGGAGAAAACATTTGCAAATGAAGCAACTGACAAAGGATTAATTTCCAAAATTTACAAGCAGCTCGTGCAGCTCAATAACAAAAAAACAAACAACCCAATCCAAAAATGGGCAGAAGACCTAAATAGACATTTCTCCAAAGAAGATATACAGACTGCCAACAAACACATGAAAGAATGCTCAACATCATTAATCATTAGAGAAATGCAAATCAAAACTACAATGAGATATCATCTCACACCAGTCAGAATGGCCATCATCAAAAAATCTAGAAACAATAAATGCTGGAGAGGGTGTGGAGAAAAGGGAACACTCTTGCACTGCTGGTGGGAATGTGAATTGGTTCAGCCACTATGGAGAACAGTATGGAGGTTCCTTAAAAAACTACAAATAGAACTACCATATGACCCAGCAATCCCACTACTAGGTATATACCCTGAGGAAACCAGAATTCAGAAAGAGTCATGTACCAAAATGTTCATTGCAGCTCTATTTACAATAGCCCGGAGATGGAAACAACCTAAGTGCCCGTCGTCGGATGAATGGATAAAGAAGATGTGGCACATATATACAATGGAATATTACTCAGCCATAAAAAGAAACGAAATTGAGCTATTTGTAATGAGGTGGATAGATCTAGAGTCTGTCATACAGAGTGAAGTAAGTCAGAAAGAGAAGGACAAATACCGTATGCTAACACATATATATGGAATTTAAGAAAAAAAAATGTTATGAAGAACCTAGGGGTAAAACAGGAATAAAGACAGAGACCTACTGGAGAACAGACTTGAGGATATGGGGAGGGGGAAGGGTGAGGTGTGTTAGGGCGAGAGAGAGACATGGACATATATATACTAACAAACGTAAGGTAGATAGCCAGTGGGAAGCAGCCGCATGGCACAGGGAAACCGGCTCGGTTCTTTGTGGCTGTCTGGAGGGGTGGGATAGGGAGGGTGGGAGGGAGGGAGACAAAGAGGGAAGAGATATGGGAACATATATATATGTATAACTGACTCACTCTGTTATAAAGCAGAAACTAACACACCATTGTAAAGCAATTATACCCCAATAAAGATGTTAAAACAAACAAACAAAAAAACAACTAGGGGCTTCCCTGGTGGCGCAGTGGTTGAGAGTCCGCCTGCCGATGCAGGGGACACGGGTTTGTGCCCCGGTCCGGGAAGATCCCACATGCCGCGGAGCGGCTGGGCCCGTGAGCCATGGCCGCTGGGCCTGCGCGTCCGGAGCCTGTGCTCCGTAACGGGAGAGGCCACAACAGTGAGAGGCCTGCGTATCGCAAAAAAAAAAAAAAAAACTTTAAAAGAGGGGAATTCCTTGGCGGTCCAGGGGTCAGGACTCTGTGCTTTCACTGCTGAGGACCTGGGTTCCATCCCTGGTCAGGGAACTAAGATCCTGCAAGCTGCAAGGTGCGGCCAAAATAAATTAAAATAAAAAAATTAAAAAAATAAAGTTCATTATGGAAAAAAAAACACTTAAAAAGAACCCATGGTGAAGACATTAGCAGACACTGAGACACAGAATGGCTAAAAAGGATCTGCAGGCGTCAAGATATATTTTCCTTTGCAAACACCCTTGGATTTGGCTCTTCACTTGAATCTTTCTGTTACTCACGATTTCACTCCCCTTAAACATAAGTTACATATTATATCTCAGTAAAACTGTTTAAAAAAACCCAGAACACCATAACTGACATGAACACATGGGAATAATTCCCATATGCTGTCACCACACAGGAAGGCACAGCAGACCCAGGGGATGAAGCCCAGAAGCAAGGCTGGCAGAGGCAGTGGTCAAGGCACCTGCTGTCAGGCAGGTGGCTGAGTGGCCACAGAAGAAGAGGTGTGGTCTCAAAGGGAAGGAGTCAAAGCGTCAAGGAGACACGGGCCTGGTGTGTAAGATGTAGAGCTTGCAGTAAGGGAAAGGGAGGAAAAGCACTGATACACTGACAAAACCCACAGGGAAGGACTCCAAGGCGTTCATGCTGGGTTGGCCCCCAGGAAGGAGCCCCAGGGGGACATTTATGCTACCTTGATACTCTTCTGGGATCGATCCAAGTCAGGTGTTGATTCACATTCAACCCAAGTGGAAATATCCAATTTCTGAGCTGTCAACTTACAAAGGCTCTTGGTAAAAGATTGGAAAGTGGAACATGGTATCAAGTCCATGATCACACGTAAACATACTGCCATTTCACCATGGATATCTGTAAGCCACCAACCGTAGACTCAGTCATCCTAAACTCATTCACTTCAGGAGAGCAATGGTGGAGTTACAGCCTAACATTTGAGAAAATCCAAAAGGGCAGATGCAAATAGAAGAGACGCACACACAGATTTACACAAAGATACCCTCTCACGGAATCCGTTACGATGCCTCTGGGATTCACCAAATCAGTCTCAAACAGCACCCGGCGCTGGGTCCCATCCAGCTTTGCAACTTCTATCCGATCCAGGTGAGAATCCGTCCAGAAGATGTTGCGGCCAAGATGGTCAAGAGCAATGCCTTCTGGGCTTCCAAGATCTAGAAGCAAACACCAAACATGGGCTTCCAAGATCTAGAAGCAAACACCAAACATGGGCTTCCAAGATCTAGAAGCAAACACCAAACACTCCTGATTTTTTTTAAAGCAAGTAAGATGAGGTTTTTCTGATTACTCAGTGCTATTTCACCTGGCATCCAATCCTTGCACCTTGAAAAAACAAATGGGAGGGTTAAATGCTTGTTGGTTAAGATAAGTAACACTTAGTGACAAATTGAAAAATGCTACTCATTCCCTCGATGGACATCCACCCTGTGCACTACATTGGGAGCCAGGCCCATAAAGATGCTGAAGCTGTGGCCCTGCCTTCAAGAAGAAGCCCACAGTCAATCACAGTTCAGACTGAGTTCCAGGTTCTGTGGGAACATGAAGGAGGGACACTGGACTCAGTGTGGGGAGACCAGGGGAGGATTCCTGGGGGAGATAACACCTCCTAAAGCTGGCTCCTGCAGAAACAACAGGACTTTGGCGGGCAAAGATCCTGGGTAAAGGTTTTCCAGGTAGTGGGACCAGCACATAGGTCTAAAGGAAGAGTAGACATGGCCTGAAGTAAATCGTATGTCATTTTGCATGGCTGGAGACCCCGAGGGTGGAGGGTGGCCAGAGATGAAGTTAGGATGCCCATGTTAATGAGCTTAGTGCTTATCCCTTATGCAAAGGGGAGGCACAAGAAGATCTGAAGATGGGAACAGGACAGATTTACCTTATTCATCAATGGGGACAAAAAGGTCATTTCAGAGAAATAAGATATGCAAGAAATCACAGCTGTTATTACTTTTATACAAGTATTAGGATTACAAAGAAGGGGTGTCAGGAATTGTGAATAGCACCCAGAAGTCCTACTAGGCTATAAGCAACTGATTTCCAAGCCAGGGGTTGCCACAGCCTCAGCTGACTGCAATGGGAACCTTCAGCACCCACCTAACACAATCAGGAGTTCAAGATTGCAATGGTTTCCTGACTAGAAATACAATCAAGTTAAAAGCTAAAACCCCATCAGGGTTTTACTGGTGTCATCTGGGATTCTTTCCCCTCTGCTGATTATAGAATCGAAGGTCATCTAGTACAGCTGGAAGTGGAAACAGGAACTGGGAGAGCCGAGGATGGAGCTACCCTGCCCCAGGGGCCTGGTACGAGGAAACCAACCCAGCACTGTTTTTTTTTCTTCTTTCTTTATTTATTTGGTTGCATCGGGTCTTATATGTGGCAGGCAGGCTCCTTAGTTGCGGCTCGCTGGCTCCTTAGTTGTGGCAGGTGCAGCACTGTGTTCTTTCATCAATAGAGAAGCAATCCCGACCTTCAGCCCCCTCCATATCGGCTTTCACTAGACCCCTAATACAATCATGACTGTGAATGCCGGCGATGTCTAAGCCCCCTCAAAGGACCCCCACCAGAGGAAGTTTATTAAGAATTAAAAACAGCAGTTTCTAATTTTAAACAAGTTCTTTATTGTTCTAACCAAAAGTAAAGATTTATAAAGTATTAAAATATTTTCCATGTCCCTAGAGGCAAAGGGATGGTGAGACTGAACTCCAAAGGCCCCTTTCAACTTTCAGACAATATCAGAAGAAATCATTCTGGGGTATATTTGGAATGAGTACATCCTGTCTGAGAGGCATGAGCTATTCAGACACACACAGAGCAGTGGGACCAGGGAAGGCTGTTCAATGAGCGTCTCTTTACAAGTTCCAGGAAGGAACTCCATGTCGTGTTGTCTCTTTATAAACAGCCCTGCTCCTGACGTCAAACCCAAGAGCAACCATACCTCCTTCCCCAACCAGGAAAATACTTTATGGGATAAGGAGCCAAAGGAAAGGCCTGGAAAACCTCATCCTTTGTTGTGAGTCAGGGCAAGATGGGAAGACGTCAGGGCAATATATTCCACACTGATTATGTTGAAAGGAAACAGATGACGATACTTATCAAAGATATTTAGCTAGGACTTTAACTCAAGGAAAGACAGAGAAACCCAGGATTCAGACGTTATGAAATTAAGAAGAAAAGAAAAAGAAAAGATACACACTGCCATTTTCACTCACTAGGAATGTACCAACACATACCGTGATGAAGATGTAAGTGGAAGTTTCTTTCTCTCTTTTTGAAATTAAAAAAAAATGTATCCCTAGGGATCTTTCTTCTACAAAGATCACATTCTGATTTAATTCTGTGTTTTCACAGTGGGCTTTTGTCTGGAATGTTTCTTACTGGGCTTAAAGCTTTCTTGGATTATCAGTTCCAAAAGCAACAGGAAATAGCAAACGATGACCTACTCCCCTCCTCCACTGGGTTTTGAAGTTAAATCACAGATAATAGCAACAGAATTTTTAACAGAGATAAGATGCAAAAAGGCATTTTCAAACTTCTGTTCATTAAAGCAAGCCATGAAAACTAGCAGACATTATTTAAATAGCATACTGGATTCCAGAAAAGGATTTGAGGTCTATGTCCAAATATTTAACTCAACCTCAGTTTAATTCCTGCTACATCATCTCTTCTGAAGGAGCCAAGGAAGGAAAAACATGCCCCAGGGGCTACTCCGCAGGCACAGGGACCCTTCCAGAGTACCAATTTCTAGGGAAGTGTTAAATTGGAAATTAGAAAATCTACACTTGGCCCCAAGTAAAAAGAAATACCAAAGAGGCTCATATATTTTAAGGATGTATCTTTGATTTGAGTGTTTTGCAGAGGAAACAAGATGATTTTACACAGCAAATATCATTGGCATGACAATGTCTTTTGATTGAAAATATCTGCAAGTCAGCTGATGAGTCACAGACTTAGTAATGTGTAATATTTGACCTTTTCAGTCCAGGAGGATTTTTACAGGCCCTTGGATTTTTGTCATAATGGACTTGAATCTTGATAAAACATATCTACCTAAAATAGCCTTGGCTTGTTGAAGGTAGGCATTAACATAATAGAGTCCTTGGCTTAAATCAGCATCGATAAGTTAAGGAATTGAGGTTAAATGTTGAGGGGTAAGCTGTGCCAAAGTGCCATGTGCTTTATCATCAGTGATGCAACAAAAACAGAAATGTCTGTTTTTCGGCCTGATTTTCTGTACTCTTCTGGCAACCTGAGCAAGGTCCGGTGGGGGTGAGGTAGAAGAGAGGAGACCCACCGCACCATGAGATTACAGGTTGAAGTGACAACCCTTCAACTGGAAAACTGTCCTGCGAATAGACTCACTTCTCAGGGACAATATCTGCCAATATGCTCGTGATCCTTCCATCTTTACGATTTATCTGCTTATTGCCTGATGGACCAGCCCCGCCTGGGGCAGACAGTCTGAGAATCGGTTCTAGGCTCAGCAGCCAGAGGGTGAAATGTATATCCAAACTGGCTACAGAAGCTTTCAGAGACAGGCATGGACACTTACCCTGTTTTAATTTTATTCTCCTTAGGCTAGCAACAAATCCCAGCTAAGATGTTCATGATTTAGTGATGAGTCCTCAGAGGACTCTTCAGAGAAGGCTGGAAAGGGCGATGTTTGAGGTTGAGAACCCAGCCCCTCTCAGATTACCATAACCTGTAAATAACCATACACCGCACCCCTCCGCTCTCTCCCAAGAGCCACGTGGGCTGCTAGAAGCAAAACCCGAAAAGGAAGACTGACATTTGCTTGCCCACCTTGTCGAATGATGGTGCTTGGCTCTCCACCATGCAGACTGGCTCTCCCAATGGAAGGCTGACTGATGTCGGTCCAGTAAACCATCTTGTCCACACAGTCGAAGGCCAGTCCAATGATGACTTTATCCTGGAAGTGCAGACCAGTGGTGAGAGTGGTCCACCTACTAGTGAATGATGATGGTGGGACTCTTTCCTGTGCTTAGAGGCATTTAGATGCCTTTTGAAATGAATTGTCTTCAAGTCTTTGTCTTTTTTTTTTTTTTTTTTTTTTTTGGCTGTGCCACGCAGCATACAAGATCTTAGTTCCCCGACTAGGGATCAAACCCATGCCCCCTGCAGAGGAAGTGCAGAGTCCTAACCACTGGACCGCCAGGGAAGTCCCTCTTTTGTCCATTTTAAAAATTAAATTATTGAGTTGAAGGAGTTCTTTATATATTTCAGATAAAAATCTGTTGTCATACACATATGTATATGTATGTATGTATATGTATATTTTTTCTCAGTAAATAGCACTTTTTCATTTTCTTAATGATGTTTTCGGAGAGCAAAAGTTTTAAATTTGTATTAAGTGCAATTTTATTTTTCTTTATGGCTAATGCTTTTTGTATATCGTCTAAGAAATCTTTGCCCAACTGAAAATCATAAAAATTAAATAAAAGACATAAATATTGGAAAGGAAGAGGTAAAATCACTCTATTTTAAGACTATGATTATTTATGTAGAAATTCCTGGGAAATCTATAGTAATATTTTAACTAAAAATTGAATCTAGCAAGGTTGCAGGATCCAAGGTCAATGTAAAATTGTATTTCTACATACCAGCAAAAAGTAGAATTTTAAAATAATAATGTTTATAATAGCAGCAAAATATTTAAGAATAAATATTTTTAAATGTGCAAGATTCTATACTGAATACTATAAAACACTGTAGAGTGAAATTAAAGAAGACCCAAATAAATGAAGAGATGTTAGTTTAATGGATCCTAAGATTTAATATTGCTAAGATATCCAAAATAGAGTTTAGGATATCCCTAAATAGAGTTAAAGATCCAGTGCTATCCATATCAAAATCCCAGCAGCCTTTTCTTTTCTTTTCTTTTCTTCCTTTCCTTTCCTTTCCTTTTCTTTTCTTTTCTTTTTGGTAGAAACTTATAAGCTTACTCTAAAATGTATATGGAAATGCAAACTGAGGCCCTGGGGACCATAGAAGTGTAAGACCAGGATGCTCTTTTCCTGGGAGAATCAGCGTTATCAGCAGACACTTGCCCTCCAAAAGTCATGTCATAAAGGAAAAGAGATCCTTACCATACACCATATACAAAAATTAGCTCCAAATGAAGCGAGAGTCTAAATGTAAGAGCTAAAAATACAAAACTCTTAGAAGAAAACATAGTTGAAAGCCTCATAACATTGGATTTGGCAATGATTTCTTGGATATGACATCAAAAGCAAAAATAGATAAATTGGATCTTATCAAAATTAAAAACTTGTGTTCAGTAAAAGACACAATCAACAAAGTGAAAAGGCAACCAATCCATGGAAGGTGATAAAATATTTGCAAATCATGTAACTGGTAAGGGGTTAATAGAATATATAAAGAACTCCTACAACTCAGTAACAATAAGAACAAAACAACCCAATTACTAAGTGGGCAAAGGATATGAATAGACATTTTTCCAAAGATATATAAATTGTCCATAAGTATATGACAAGATGCTAACATCACTAATCATTAGAGAAATGGAAATCAAAACCACAATGAGATACCACTTTACACATATTAGGATGGCTACAACTAAAAAACAGAAAATAATAAGTGTTGACAAGGTAGAAGGGAAATTGGAACCTTTGTGCTCTGGTGGTGGGAATGCAAAATGGTGCAGTGCTAAGGAAAACCGTATAGTGGTTCCTCAAGAAATTAAAAATGGAATTACCATGTAATTCCAGGTCTTGTTTATATACAAAATAAGTGAAAGCAAGGACTTGAACAGATGTTTGTAAATCCATGTACATAGCAACACTATTCAAAATAGCCAAAAGGTGGAAGCAGCCCAAGTTCTCCACTGATGGATGAATGGATAAACAAAATGTGATACATCCATATAATGGAATATAATTCAGCCTTACAAAAGGAAGGAAATTCTGACACATGCTACAACATGGATGAAATTTGAAGATATTATACTAAATAAAGTAAACCAGTTATGAAAGGGCAAATACTGTGTGATTCCACTTATAGGAGGTCCCTAGAACAGGCAAATTCATAGACATAGAAAGTAGAAGGGGATGCAAAGGGCTGGCAGGGGAGGAGGGAGTTATTGTTGAATGGATCCAGAGTTTCAGTTTGGGATGATGAAAAAGGTTCTGGAGATAGATGGTGATGATGGTTGTACTTAATGCCACAGTGGCATTAGCTACAGTTAAAACAGCTAAATGGTAAAGATAGATAGATACATACATACATACATACATACATAGAAGGACAGACAGATAGATGATACATAGATAGGAAGGACACAGTGAATATTTATAAGGTTGTTTCAGCACTCTCCCTCCACTGATCCCATCTCAATTTCCTGCTTTTCATAGCCTCATTTGGCATTTAAGCCTCTCCCCTTGGTCTTGGGGGAAAACGACTTTCACACGGAATTTAACCCACTCGCACTACCCGGGAGTGTGTGCTAGTGGATACCAGGAAGAATGATGATTACCCCTTGAGGGATTTGTGCTTCACTGAGGCAACAGAAAATCACAAAGATCACTTACACATTTGTTCAGCAAATACTTTTCAAGTGCCAAGCACTGTTTGGGATCTGCAAATACCCCTGTGAAACAAACACCTCCATGAAATAGAGGGACAATTTCTGATCTTGCTGTGCTTATATTCTTGGTGGGAAGAGATACATCAGACATAGAACATGTACCTGGATACACAATGTTTCGAGTAGTGCTGGGTGCCTGATGAAAGACAAAGCAGGGTAGGTGGAGGCTGCAGTCTGGATAGGGCAGCCAGGACAGGTTTCTCTAAGAGCTGATGTGCCAGCAGAAATTCAAGTGACATGCGGCAGTGAACCGTGCAAGTGTCTGGAATGAGAGAACTCCAGGCAGGGGGACAGCAAGTGCAAAGGCCCTGAGGTGGGAGTGTGAATGGTGAGTTGAGGACCAGCTAGAAGGCCAGAAGGCTGCAGCCGGTGAGTGAGGGGGCAGTGGTAGGGAATGGGGTGGGAGAGGTAGCCAGAGGCCATGGAAAGAACTGGATTTTTTTCTGGGTGAAGGGAACCCATCAGAGGGTTTTGTGTTGGGGAAGAACATGGATCCAATCACGGCTGCTTTGCAGGAGGCTTTTTGAAAAGCATTTTTACCATGGATGGACCTAGAGATTATCATCTCTAGTAAGTTAGTAAGTCAGAAAGAGAAAGACAAATACCATATGACATCATTTAAATGTGGAATCTAAAATATGACACAAATGAGCTTATCTATGAAACAGAAACAGACTCACAGACAGAGAACAGACTTGTGGTTGCCAAGGGGGAGGTGATGGGGGTGAAGGAATGAGAGTTTGGGATGAGCAGACACAAACAATTACATGGATAAACAAAAAGAATAAACAACAATGGATAAACAAGGTCCTACTGTAGAGCACAGGGAACTATATTCAATATCCTGTGATAAACCATAATGGGAAAGAATATGAAAAAGCATATATGTACAACTGAGTCACTTTGCTGTACAGCAGAAATTAACACAACATTGTAAATCAACTATGCTTCAATAACATAAAGTTTTTTAAAAAGAAGCATTTTTATTTTGCAGACTTTTTTTGATCATGTTTCCTCCCTGGTCAAAAAGAAGAGGGGTTATGGTGGTGTGTAGAGATCCATGCAGGAAGAGAAAATAGGGCAGGTGGGAAAGACAGGGGAGTAGGGCAAGGAAGATGAGAAGAAAGTAATTTCTACCCGGAATCTTTACGCAGGCTCTGCAACCAGCACTGAGGGGTAATGAGGATTCCCGCTGGACTTTCATCTCTAAGAGCTGGTAGCCCACTCGCTGCTAATTCTTCACTCCTTAGATGACCCTGACGGCCCCCACTGCCCTGGCAACCCTGAGTCCACAGCCAGAAGCCTCCACCAGGTCTCAGGTTTGGTTTCCTGGCAGGAGGTCAGGATCCCAGACAGAAAAGCTCCTCAGAAGTGTCTGACCTCTAACTAACGGACAAAAATTCCCCGACTCACAAAATGCATCTTTGAAGCTTTGAAAAGCTCTGGTTACTTACTGCCTCTGGGCAGACAGGCGCATCTTGAGCTGAGCGGCTGCCGAAAGTTGAGTCACGTTGCTAATTTAGCAGGGATGGCAACATCAAACCTGGCAGATGCTCGCAGACAAGAGAGCAAACTCACATGACGCGCCCACCTGAGGGGTCAGATACCAAAGGGGTCTCTCTGGAAGGCCTCCTGTTTCTGCTCCCACCCTCGAGCCTCATGGGGGTGCTTAGGAATACAGTGGCCCCATTTAGCGGTGGACACCCAGGGTCACACAGAATGAAGAGGTCCTGGGTCCAGGGGTCCAGCCCCGGTCCCTGGGCTGACTGCACCCCGCTCGTTGCTCCAGGCCATTGAAGCAGAAATTGTCACCAAGTGCCATCGGCCAGCACTCACCGGGGCGTGAAGCAGAGCCTGGGCTTCCGTCTTGGTCATGGTGTTTCCCTCCAGGGGGAGGTGCTCTATCTTCCCGGTCTGGGCAAACAGTAGGTGGGTCCCAGGTGGCAGGGGGATCACGGCGGTAGGAACTGAGGGTCCGTGGTGAACCGGGGGAGCCACTGTACTCAGACCTGGGTGGTGGGAGATGGCAATGAGTAAGGCCCCCGTGCAGTAGGAATGCACAAACGCACACGTGTGGGTGCGTGCGTGCACAGACTCACACACATGTACCCACACCGGGTCACGTCGCCTTCATGGCACCACAAACTGCACCGTCACACGTGCACATTTAATATCCGAAAGCACAAGGAGCAGAAAGACCTCAGTCAATCAAAGGGCATTTGTGATGAAGATGATGCAGGGCCAGAGTTTAACATTAAAGGTCGATTGGAAAAAAACAATGGCTCAGTCTCCCCCTTAATGGAACTAACCTGGCTATCGGTGCCCTGCTCTGCACACGGGCTGCAGCAGTGAACAAAAACAATGCAACAGCGGCAACCCTGAAACCCTGGGCCACAGGGAGCTCGCACCCCAGCAGGAAGCTGCTGAGTATTTTCATGCTCGAGGAGACCATCTGAGTGGACTAGACCCACTCACCCCATCCCACGGGGGTGGGAGGGGCTCAGACGCCACAAACGGGAACACAGGCCTTCTGGGCTTTCCAGAACGAAGTGATGGGCAGGGCTAATCCTCCCTCAGACTCGGCCTTGCCTCCTACCTGCTGACCTGGTGACCCAGCACAGCTCCTGGCTCACCTGACAAGAGAATGTCCCAGGAGGGGACAGGCAGCCTGTACTGCAGGTAAGGAACATGCAGTGGCTGTCGGGAAACCTGGGCCCCAGACCTGGCCCTGACACTCGCTGTGTGGACACGTCGTGGACCTTCCTGGGCTCGTTTCCTGCTCTCTGAAGTGAGAGAATGGGACCAGGTCATCACCGAGCTCATTTTCAGTTCTTTTCTCTTGTCCATCTTGCCTGTTATACCCAATCAATGATATAAACCAATCTGGTGGACCTTTTTAATATCTCTGGAATCTATCCCCCCAAACTCACTGCCAGCACCTCAGGTCAGACCCTCGCCGTTTCCCACCTGGATTAATTAGAAATACTGCAATTAATTAATAGCACCCGCCTCCCCACCACCAGGGCCTCATGCCTCCCTTTCAGCTCTTCTAAAACTGAAACCTGGTCACATGAGCGCCTGCTCAAAACCCTTCCTGGGCTCCCTCAGGACCAATCCAGACCCCTCAGCGGGGCACCTGATGTCCTTACCTCCATTCTGTTCCCCTCCCACAGGACGCAGACCCCTGGGGGTTTCTTTCCTGCCTCTCTGCCTGTTCCTGCTGTCTGGACCATGGGTCTCCTCAACACCTTCTCCCCAGCGCAGCTGACTCTGACCCTGCTCAGAACCTTGGTTCTCACAGTACTGCTCTGCAAAGCCTTCCTGGGCTAGCCCGCGACGCCCCAAGCCACTGTGCTTCCTGGCCCACCTACTCTCTCTTAAGGTTCCTTTCCCTGCCCTGCCCCCGTTTACCTGTCCTCTGAGGTTCTGGGGCTGGCACTGGGGCTTCCCTCTGTGGGCTGCTAGCACTGACCACACCAATCTGACACTCAACTAATGCTGGCTGGCTGGCATAATGAAGTTTGTGAGTGATCACTTCTCACTTCTTGTTTTTTTGGCCGCCCTTCGCAGCATGTGGGATCTTAGCTCCCCGACCAGGGATTGAACTCACGCCCCCCTGCATTGGAAGCGCGGAGTCTTCCACTGGACCACCAGGGAAGTCCCTGTGAGTGATCACTGCTTACTCAGCAGCCTCTTAGCAGCTTTGGGAAATTATCTGGTAGGGGATCAGTTTATGACTATTAGCTAAATGGAGAATGGAGAGGCAAGGATTGATTGCATTAGATTTTGGTAATTTGTGACAATTACCATTTTCTACGCCTGTGACAGAATTTCAGAGCTGAGAAGCATCCTAGAGATTATTTTGCTTGAATCCGATGTTGAGGCCGAGGATGCTGAGACTCAGGCAAGTATCTGTCCAGTGTCACACAGCCTGGCCCCCAGCTCGGCGCCTTCCCACCATCATGGACTGTTGCAGAACTATCTCGCAGAAACCTTTGCGGCTGTTTGCTCCTGGCGTTCTAAATGGACCGAGAACCTAAAGGTCCAGGAGCAACTGTGAAAGAGGCAAGTGTACCAGGAAGAGAACAGTTCCACACCTGAGTAAAGCCCCTCCATGCCTGGGGAGGGGCTCCGGTTGGTCTCTCCCATCCCTGCGCTGTGTGCCAGCACAGAGCCGCTGGAATGCTGGGTCACCCACTGCAAGGTTTACCTCGGGGACCCCTGAGCACACACCCTCTCTGCAGCCTCAATGCAGCGGGTCCTGCCCATCATTTGCACAGAACAGGTTTGCACAAAACAAGAGGAGGAAAGGATAAGAGGGAGGAGAGGGAAAGTGGGGAGAGAGATGGTGGGGGTGGGCAAGTGATGGGGAGATGCAAGAGGGGGCTGCAGAGGAAAGGGGGCAGGGGACGGGCTTCGAGCCAGTGGTGCAGGTCAGGATTTAGGGCGGGCAGAAAGTGCCAACTGCACCTTTGGCAAGGGTCCCCGGCAAGGGTCCCCAGCGATGCTTGCAGGTGCTGAGACTTCCTGTCTCCAGCACTGTCCTCTGACTTACACGGTGGCCTCATCCCGGGCGTGGTTCTGGTGCCCTCCACCTCGCGGCCGTCGCGGTCCACACACCAGCAGTAGCCAGTGCTGCCGTGGCACTGGGTGGGCGCGTAGTATCCGTGCTCATCACACTCGGGAACAAACAGTCCCGGAGGTCGGGGGCGCTGGGGGTCCACCGCCCCGAGGATGTGTTCTCGTTCATGCTGGCATCGGGTTTTCTCCACTTCTATTAGAGAGGCGAGGAAAAGGGGGGTCATCAGCTCAAGTCCCCATATCCAACTCAGAACCTCAGGAGCTGCCTGTTCACTACTGAGTTTTGTTTCATTAATTTAAAAAATTTTTTAACTTATTTTTATTGAAGTATAGTTGATTTACAATGTTATATTAGTTTCAGGTGTACAACACAGTGATTCAAATTTTTTATAGATTATACTCCATTTAAAGTTATTATAAAATATTGGCTATACTCCCTATGCTGTACAATATATCCTTATAGCTTATTTAAATTTTTTTTTTAATTTAAATTTTATATTGGAGAATAGTTGATTTACAATGTTGTTAGTTTCAGGTGTACAGATAAGTGATTCAATTATACATATACATGTCCATTCTTTTTCAGATTCTTTTCCCATATAGGTTATTACAGAGTATTGAGTAGAGTTCCCTGTGCTATACAGTAGGTCCTTGTTGATTGTCTATTTTATATATAGTAGTGTGTATATGTTAATCCCAAATGTTTTATTAATTAAAAAAAATTTAAACATCGTTATTATTTAGTGAATTTAACAGTCAAGAAGAGTATATCTACATTTTCTTTTCCTTCCTAGGCCATGTTTTTTTTTTCAGTTTTGAAAAACTGAGGCAAACTGACATAACATAAAATCAACCGTTTATTTTTTTTTTTCTGGCAGCACCCCGCGGCTTGTGGGATCTTAGTTCCCCGACCAGGGATCGACCCAAGGCCCTCGGCAGTGAAAGCACGGGGTCCTAACCACTGGACCGCCAGGGAAGTCCCCAAATCAACCATTTTACAGTGAACAATCCAGTGGCATTAGTACCGTCACAACGCTGAGTGACCGCCTCCTCCTTCTAGCACCAACGCATTTCCTCACCTCAAAAGGAAACCCCAGACCTATTAAATGGTTGTCTCCACTTCCTCCTTCATCCCAGCCCCTGGCAACCACCAGTCTGCATCTGTCTCTATGGAATTACCTATTCTGGTTATTTCTCATAAATGGAATCGTACAATATGCGACCTTTTGGGTCCGGCTGCGTTCACTCAGCAGAATGTTTTCAAGGTTCATTCATGTTGTAGCCATGTAATAGTACTTCATTATTTTATTTTTTTAAGATTTGTGTGTGTGTGTGTGTGCGGTACGCGGGCCTCTCACTGTTGTGGCCTCTCCCATTGCGGAGCACAGGCTCCGGACGTGCAGGCTCAGCGGCCATGGCTCACGGGCCCAGCTGCTCCGCGGCATGTGGGATCTTCCCAGACCAGGGCACAAACCCGTGTCCCCTGCATCGGCAGGCGGACTCTCAGCCACTGCGCCACCAGGGAAGCCCTAAGATTTTTTATTTATTTTTGGCTGCACCACACGGCATGTGGGATCTTAGTTCCCCGACAGAGATCGAAGCTGCGGCCCCTGCAGTGGAAGCTCAGAGTCTTAACCACTGGGACCACCAGGGAAGTCCCAGTACTTTGTTCTTTTTTATGGCTGAATAATATACTATTGCATGGCTACACCACATTTTGTTTATCCATTCATCACTCGATGGACAGCACTGACATTTGTTTTAAGAAATTTCAAGTGTTTCTTAAATTTGTCCATTTTATCATCACCAGCTTCTTGATTACCCACACTGAGTCTGGGTCAAAGATTTGGGGGACCAAAGATCACAGGGCACATTTACCAACATTTGTATGTTTCCTTTTAATTACGTGCTAGTGTTTGGCATGAAACATGGCCTTTTGACTGTGTAACTCAGATCCCAAGGCTGGGAAATACTGCTCTATCTTTGGGAAATTGCTGATGAGAAGCTATGAGCTGTTGTAAACTCCCATGTTTATAGAGCTGTAAGTGGCAGAGTTGCAGCTGCCTCCACACTGGCTAGACTCCAGCCACCACAGCATCCAGCCAGGCCAGCGCTGCCATCACCTCTGTGGCAACCGCCACCCAAAGCGATGCCCAGACACTGCCGAGAGCCACACTTCAGCCAAACTGAACCACGTCTGCTGCCCCTCTCCTGCGGGCCTTTCCATGTGCCGTTCATTGTGTGACTCCCCGCCCACGCCCCCCTCCTGCCCAGTGAATCCTTCAAGATCCAGCTCAGGCATGTGCTTCTCGGGCCCTCCAAGAGCTCCCAGGATGCTCTGGGCTCGCCCGCCCTGTGACTCTCATCACACTGATGCTGAGACTCTAAGGCTGTTCCTGGTCTGTCTTCCCTGAGCAGATTCTAGCCTCTGAGAAGGTAATGAGGGACTGCATCCCCTTAACCTTGACTTAGGAAGCCCCTCCTGGGCTGGAGTGGGGATGGACATGGGAATAAACCCCAGGCCCTGCCCTCAAGGAGCTCCCAGTCTGGAGGGAAGGGAACAAGCAAACACACAGTAACAATCCAATGAGTCAGTGTCTTGACAGAAGAGCCCAGGACACAGCACATACACACAAGAGGTCCTCTCTGTAGGGCTTAGAGAGCAAAGGCGTGCTGGAATGCGTTTTCTTGATCTTTACTGGAAGATTGTGGCTATATAATTGAGGTCAGGGCTCCACTGACTTTTCCTGCTAAGGAGCAGAGAATAATTATTTTTGGTTATATGGGCCATATGGTCTCTGTCACAACTCAACTCTGTGGATGTGGCATGAAAGCATCCAAGTTTAATACATACTGTAAATGAATGAGTGTGCCAATAAAACTTTATTTACAAACAGTGGGCCAGATTTGGCCTGTGGGTCTGTAGCTGTCAACCCCTGCTCTAGGGCATTGCTAGTTATGTTAGGGAGAAATCTTATATAAATACTCTAATTAATATATTAATGTGTATTAATATATTGCTGTGTTCGTAATATATATATTGTAATAATAGAGTATATAATAATATATATCATATTTCACAGAATTTCGTGTCTGAAAAATGTTTTTGATCCTCAGTTCCACCACTTCTGGCCCTGTCAGTAATGCTGGTTGACCAGCGATGGCAGGAGTAACTAATCCCACGGTATTATTTGAGGCGTGAGTAGAATGTGATGAGACAATGTGAACGGCTGGAATTTTAAGTCTTGCACTCCAGCATTCATCTGTGACTGTATCTACACCAGATGACAGAATGAAAACAAGTCTGTGGGCCACAGATAATTTCGGGGAGTGAGTTAAGCTAACGTGTGTGTGTCACCGTTGCCATAACACGTTCAGTGAGCAGGGGGCATCCTAGGCACTGGGCATGTGGGTGCAGAGGGCCCGGGGCTGGGCTAGGAATCCAGAGACCCGGGTTCTAGCGTTCATCTGTGACTGTATCACACAAGAGATCCTCTCTGTAGGGCTTGGAGAGTACAAAAGCGTGCTGGAGTGCTTTTTCTGATCTTTACTGGAAGTTTGTGGTTATACAATCGAGGGCACGGCTCCACTGACTTTTCCTGCTAAGGGGCAGAGAATAAATATTTTTGCTTATGTGGGCCATATGGTCTCTGTCACAACTCAACTCTGTGGATGTGGCATGCAAGCATCCAAGTTTAATACATATAGTAAATGAATGAGAGTGTGTTCATCCGTGACTGTATCTACACCAGGCCTTCACAGTGCATTTGGTGATGTGCTACCGATGAATGTTTAAAGTGCCTTTGTGCTGCCAATTCTCATGTCAGCCTGCTGGACGTGGCTGGCCCCTTGATTAGAAACAGTGAGCCTGCCAGAAAAGTGTGTGTTGAACCTGGGAGGGGAAACTGGGACTGCTTTCTCTTTTGTCCCAGAGGCTAATATAAAAAACAAAAACAAAAGGCCCTACTGTATAGCACAGGGAACTATATACAATATCCCGTGATAAACCATAATGGAAAAGACTATAAAGAAGAATGTTTATATGTGTGTAACTGAGCCACTTTGCTGCACAGCAGAAATTAACACAACATTGTAAATCAACTACACTTCAATTAAAAAATTAAATTAAAAACAACAAAAACAAAACGTATTTGATGTAGGAAGAGCCAAACAGAGATACAAATAAGCCATCTGGTTGATGATAAAAATGTTGGTTTTCTTCACTCTTGGATGTAGGGCTTGTTTACTTCCTCAGTATCTTACATTTGTACAGGGCTTTAGTTTCTGTACAAGCTGTCTCTGCTCACACATCGTTCACTTAATTCTCACTATAATCCTATGCAACAGGCAACTACGGTTTTTACGTCAAATGAGAGAACGGAAGCTCAGATTGGCTTCCCCAGGCCACAGCACTAGTGAGTGGCTCAGCTCGAGCTAGAACCTGGGTCTCTGGATTCCTAGCCCAGCCCCGGGCCCTCTGCACCCACATGCCCAGGGCCTAGGACACCCCCCGCACACTGAATGTGTTATGTCAACGGTGACACACACAAGTTAGCTTAACACACTCCCCCAAATTGTCTGTGGCCCACAGACTTGTTTCCCTTCCATCAACATATGTATATGGTGCCGCCTTTCCAACTAGAAAACAGGCTTGGTATTCTGTGTACTGTCAACCACATCAAACTTTTAAGGGAGGAAGGGGTACCTCCCTTGTACGTGGCTGACAGTTTTGGGTTAGCCAACACGCAAAATCTCAAGTGATCTAGAATTTCCAGTGGAGCTGTATCTCAAGTGTACCTTAAGGGCTGTACCTTGAACTTATATTAAGGTGGGGGAGACCTCAGTTGTGACTCAGGAAACAGAATTTCAAGTGTGTGTTTGTTTTGTTTTTTGTTTTTTGGCCTCGCTGCGTGGCTTGTGGGATCTCAGTTCCCCAACCAGGGACAGAACCCGCGCCCTCGGCAGTGAAAGCACCGAGTCCTAACCACTGGCCCGCCAGGGAAATTCCCCAAGTGTCTATGGAAAGCTGTGATATCACTGTGTTCCCTGGGATGGTTTCTCAGCCTGACCCACAGCAGCCCCTGTGGGTGCCTCCTGTTCAAGGCTCCAGGCTCCCACAGAGAATGTCCCACTGTGGGTGGGGTGGGGAAAAGGGATAATAAAGACACATCGGCCTTGCTTCTGGTTGATAAA